GTTTGGTTCCCATTGAAGTCCATTACATGGAGAAAAATCCTGGAAAGTTTTCATCAGAAACCTTAATTTCTTTTCGACTGAAGAAAGAAAGATATAGACATCTTGGATGACATGGGGGTGAGTAAATTATCAGCAAATGTTTTTTTAAAAAGTGAACTACTCCTTTAAAATTCGTTTTAGAATTAAATTGTGCATAAATAGGTTAACCACAAACTGTTTATGTCTGAGAACCTTTTAAACGCATATGAACCTGAAATGACATACACTGTGTGATACAGTACAAATATTTTCATGTATTGTCCCGCATTTTTCTTCTGAAGTTGGCAACCCTAGTTCTCCTCAGGCTCAGGGTTTAATTCAGTGTTTGTTTGCGGTCTGTCCTGTAATGATTAATGCTGTCAGGATGTAGATCAGCAACACACAAGAAGCTTCTGCTGCTGGTTTTCCCTGTCACGACCCATCATCCGTCACGGTGACGACGACATCGACTGACACAAACGTGACTTCTGCGGATCGCAAGGCCACTGCTAACTCAAACAATCTGTCTTCACATAAACCTCTATGTATGTCAGGTTACATATTAACATTCAAACTGGCACGCTGATTTCTCCATTGAAATTTAACTTCGGATTCAACCTCGATTTCTGCGCTAGCGGTCAGTCGGTTACACAGTATACAAACCCGCCATAAGAAAAAACATCACACATCTTGTTGTTTTCCTTGTTTCTCCTAGACAGTAAAACAGAAACGGTCTCTTCTGGAGTTTCAGGACATGTATACAATATGCATTTTTATTTTTCGTATGCATAGATATTTTATTTTATTTAGCCCAAATGTTTAGTATACAACAGTGCATACTACATACTACTGTATCCCATGATGCAATATGCTTGTACTTTGCAGTCCCGTGACTACCATGGATGCCTGGCGGACAACAAACGGGTATTTTCAACGTAGAGTCCTGTCTAGTAGCTATCAAGTCTGTTAGCGAGCTAGCGGCATAACTATGGACTAGTTCACTTTAAAAAAAAAAAAAACTTTTTCTGATGATTTACTCACCCCTATGTCATCCAAGATATCCATGTGTTTCTTTCTTCAGTCGAAAAGAAATTAAGGTTTTTAATGAAAACATTCCAGGATTTTTCTCCATATAATGGACCTCAATGGGAACCAAACGGTTCAAGGTCCAAAAGACACTTTCAGTGCAAACTGCAAACTGTTCAAAAGGCTTTAAACGATTCCAGACGATGAATAAGGGCCTTATCAAGCGAAACGATCACTCATTTAATAAATAAATAACAAAGTCTAAGTTTTATAAGATCAAATGTTCGCCTTGATGCGCGTTCGTGACTCTCCTGTTCGAGAACGAATCTTTTCCAGAGTCAACTCGTTCATTTCATTCGTTGAATGAACCAAATGACACGAAAAAAAGATTCGTTCATTTTGATAAACGAGTTTGAACAGGAGAGTCACGAACGTGCATCACAAAACAGAATTGGTGGTACAAAACAGATATCAATTCTTCAATAAGTTGGTAAATTTATTAATTTATTTAGATTTATAGCCAGCTTTATCCGCATACATACAGTATCATCACATTAAGAGATATAAACTATATAGCAAATCTCAATTGCATGATTTTTTAACTATATTATCATCCAGCCCTTTACATATAGTTGTATATATACAATGCAACTATAATGCAGCAAGATATTAAGATATTATATATGAAGAGTTCAGATGCAAAAGCCTCTAAGTGCCATTTGAAATTTTCTTCTAAAATGATCATTTTTATCAAACTTATATGTTCAAGTTCAGTAATTTCACTTAAATGACAATTAATAGGTAATCCTCATTGCAATTTAAGTGAAATTACTGAACTTAAATATACAAGCTTGATAAAAATGATCATTCTAGAAGAAAATTTCAAATGGCACTTAGAGGCTTTTGCATCTGAACTCTTCATATATTTTTATCATGATTTTCTGTAAAGCTACTTTGAAGCAATGCATATTGTGAAACTTATTATTGGTACATAATATACAATATAAGTATCACTGTATTTTGTGTCAGTAAATTGTTCAATATCAATCTGTAAATGTATATCAATTAAAATGTTCAATATCAATCTGTAAATGTATTTCACTTATTTATATCATTTATGTTATATGTATGGCTGACATATGAAAAAGGAACTGCAATTAAAGATGAAGTGAAACATGTGAAGTATGCATGTCGGGACGGTTCTTTAACGAACATGTCAGTGATTTACAGTGGCGGTTATTTGACTGGGACAGAATAATAAATATTGTTGGCATTCCAGAAACCTGTTTTTGTCCCAGGACATTCAACATGAAACTATCTTGGGAAAAAAGGATATGTGAAGTGTAATTTAATTGTTTAGTTGGTCTCATGTCCAGTTAAATAACATGGGGAGGCGGGGTTTATGACCTATACTAGGACCGGCCACTGGGGGCGATCGAGTTTGGCTTCACTTTTGCTTATTCACACAATACAGCACAGCAGTGTTGTAGTACTCGAGACTCGGACTTGTCTCGGACTCGGTCTCGAGACCATATTTTAATGGTCTTGGTCTTGTCATGGACTCGTGTCCATTTGGACTCGGAATTGACTCGTACTCGAACATTTTTTTTTTTTAGGACTCGGAATTATTCCCGAGTCCACTCGAGTTCAATTAAAAATATTTTTCATGATTATTAATGTATGTGAATAAAATATTTCTTTAAATTGATTGACACGCCCAGTGATTGGTGATTTTCTAGTGCGCAACTGCGCATGACAAATTGTAATAAAATTACTTTTAACACCACCTATTATGTGGCCTTTTTACCCTAAACTGATCATATTTTTTAAACTCTAAGTAAATTCAGTAAAAAAAAGAGGATTTCTCTAAGTAAATAAAAGTAAATTAGGTAATCAACCCTCACTGGTCTCGGTCTCGACTCGGACTCGACCGTCTCTGGTCTCGGACTCGACTCGGACTCGACTCTCTATGGACTCGGTCTTGACTCGGACTCGACTCTCTCTGGTCTCGGTGTCGACTCGGACTCGAGTGAGGTGGTCTCGACTACAACACTGCAGCACAGCCTCTCATACCTATTTGCTTACGTATGAAATGGCCTCAGTTCAATTCTTCTCATGAAAACTCGCTCAACCTGTGATATTATGATAGTCTCCATCTTTATAAACTGTGTAAAAACCCATTTTGTGTTCCTATATAATCCCACTGGAGTAACGGCTCATTGGCAGTCAAAAGACAAAAAAGCCTGACTCTCTTTCCAAAATATTTCTAAGCCTGATTTGTTTTTATAGCCATGAAATCCAGAGCACATTTGCTCAGTAAAACCAGTTGCCTGTTTCAATGCTTTGCACTGGGGAACCGGTTGAGGAGTGACTATCACATGGTGTCTTCATTTCAGCGCATGAACCAGCGCCACACAAAAGACTCGCAGGACATACAAGAGCAGATAATTATAGACAGCCACCCTCCATCCCTACTAGCCCTGCATTCACACACACACACACACACACCTCTCTAATGCGCCATTAACATGCAATCTGGTCACTAACACACACTTGTGTCAGTCGACCGGCCCGACGTTACTGTTACAGACACAGGCTAACGGCTTTGAGTCCTCTTCACCAAGGCCAAATATAAAATATTGTTGGTTTAATTTAAAAAAAAGTAAGTAACCTGGTTGCCTTAAATTTTTAAGTTCATTGAAATGGAAAAAATGAGTTAATACAATAAAGGAGACTGATTTAATCATCAGAAACTCAAAATATTATGTTATTTGAACTACATAAATTATTTAAGTTGATTTGACAAAAGAAAAAAATGTGTGATTACAAATTACAGTGCAGCGTATAAAAAAATTGAAAATAAAGAAATATAATAATAACAATAATATTATATTTCTTTATTGATTTGTTTGTTTTTAAAAATTTAAATAATAATAATAAAAACTTATTTTTTATTTTGTTTTTATAATTTAAATAATAATTATTACATTGTAACAAAAAGTAAGTACAATCAACTTGAATGTTTGTTATTTCAACAAATTAAATCAAACTGACTTATAAAATTAGTTGAATCTTGCATAATATAAAAAAAAAGATTAAAATTACTTAACTTAATTTAATATTAAAGAAATAACTTATGGATCATATAATTTTTTACAGTGTATTTCTTAGATTTATTTTTTTATCTTATTTAAATAATTATTATTATTAAATGTATTTATTGATTTGTTTATATTTTAAATAATAATAATTATTACACTGTAACAAAAAGTAGCTGCCTTAAATTAAGAACAATCAACTTGAATGTCTAACATAAAAAAAGATCAAAGTTGCTTAGTTTATTTTAATGTTAAAGAAATGTAAAAACACATGTTGTCATAACTTGATCATATCAGTTTTTTTTTACAGCGTATTTCTTAGATTATTTATTTATTTATTTATTTTACAGGACAGTTGATGGTAGCCACTTATTTTTGTATAATATTACTATGGACGTCAGTGGCTCCCATCAACTGTCTGGTTACCAACATTCTTCAAAATATTTTCTTTTTTGTGTGAACTATCCCTTTAAATCGGCGCCTGCGCTTCTCTGTCTGACCAGAAGATGGCGGTAGCTCAAGGGCCACTTTTACCTCAGAGCACTTTATCTTCTAATAAAACTCCAAACTGTTCAAATAAAATACAGAAAATTTGCAGCATGCATTAAAATAAATATGCAACTAAATAGCATATTGTTATAAATGTAAATAAGCCAGATAAATGGCACAACTTGTTGTAATAATGACTGACAGGATTCCTTAATTGATCCGAGTAAGGGGAAATCCTGAAATAACTCCTCTATATTAATTAAGAGTTTGTTTATAAAACAAAAGCATGACACACAGGCTATAAACGCAAAGCTATATCTCATTGCACAAAATCACGTAGTCCTTAAAGTAGTGTTAAATGACACTTACGAGTCTTCTCTCGTCCAGAACAGCAGCTGTGCGCGCGAGTAGTTGTTTTGCTGACATATGCATATTTCACATACTACAGTACAGTACCCTGTGTTACTGTACCGTGTTAAAGAGTGTCCCTGCCAAACCTAAGATCCCTCAGACCGCACTTTAGAGTCGCATTTGAAGGCGTTGTGCTCGTACAGTCATGTGATGTGTGTGTGTTATCTGTCTCTGTACCTGCTACTGCTCCGCGCGGCGCTCCTGCGGCTCCAAACGCGACGTCACGATACTGAAGAACACACACACACGCGCGCGCGCGCGCGCACGAAACGCGAGGATGCAATCTGATGTGCGAGTGCGAGAGAGAGAGAGAGAGAGAGAGAGAGAGAGAGAGAGAGAGAGAGAGAGAGAGAGAGAGAGAGAGAGAGAGAGAGAGAGAGAGAGAGAGAGAGCGAGAGAGAGAGAGAGAGAGAGAGAGAGAGAGAGAGAGAGAGAGAGAGAGAGATGAAGGAAATGCAAGAAAAGCTGAAAGGAGAAAGCAGCAGAGAAGAGATGTTAAAATGTGAAAAACTGAAAGTTGAAGAAATGCAAGATTAATAAAATTAAACAATGTACATGCAAATCAAAGATGAAGAAAATGTATGAAAAGAAAGATGAATAAATTGCAAGACCGAAAATGCAAGGGTGTTCATCAAAAAGTATGATATACAAAAAGTGCGATGTTTCTTTATCTTGCTTTTTTTGTTGCATTTTTATCTCCTTGCATTAAGCAAGAAAAAAAAGTGGAAGTAAATTCAAGAGATTTTAAAAAACAAGTGAACAGAAAAAAAAATTAACATGAAAGATTAAGAAAATGTAAGAAAAGAATGAAGAAAGTGCAAGACAGAAAAAGAGATTGAAAAAAAGCAAGTTGAAGAAAAGGCAAGTAAGCAATAAAAAAATATAATGTATATGCAAATGAAAGAATAAAAGATGAAGATTATGCAAGAAAAGGTGAGAAAATTGCAAGACCAAAAATGCAAGAAAAGAAAGATGAAGAAAATGTAAGTAATGAAAAGAAAAAAAAATTAGCATGCAGGTAAATGAATGAAAGATGAAGAAATGCAAGACACTGTGAGACAGGTCTGAAAAAAGAAATATAAGAAAATTAAAAGAAAATGGAGAAGTTGCAGAGAAAGAAAAAAAGAAAGGGGATATTTTCTCCAACAGATGCCTTTTTGATCATCACACTCGATCAGAATAACATCTTTGAATTGAGATGAGAATAATATCTGTTTCTTTATTAATGTTGTATATGATGGATCATGACATCTTCATAATCATGACATGTTATATGAAGTTTTATGCATGTTTGTGACAACTGTCATTAAGTGTCATTCTCTCAATTATGTCATTTTTAATGCAAATATGACATTGTTTGGAATGTGTTTGTCTCTGCGCCTTTAAAACAGAAGAATGACACACATAAATATAATATAATATATAAGAAAGTGTCAGTCAAGTCAGTGTCAGATTGCTGTAATAGATCCCTATTTAAAGGAGTAGTTCACTTTATAAAAAGACTTTTGCTGATAATTTACTCACCCCCATGTCATCCAAGATGTCCATGTCTTTCTTTCCTCAGTCGAAAAGAAATTAAGGTTTTTGATGAAAACATTCCAGCATTTCTCTCCATATAATGGACTTCAATGGGGTCCAAACAGTTCAAGGTCCAAAAGACACTTTCAGAGCAAACTACAAACTGTTCAAAGGGCTTTAAACGATTCCAGACTATAAATAAGGGTCTTATCAAGCGAAACGATCGCTCATTTAATAAATAAATAACAAAGTTTAAGTTTTATAAGCACAAATGGTCGCCTGTGATGCGCGTTCGTGACTCTCCTGTTCGAACTCGTTCATTAAAATGAACGAATCTTTTTCCGAGTCAACTCGTTCGTTTGAATGAACCAAAATGACTCGTTCATTTTGATAAACGAGTTCGTAAACACAACTACTTTACAGTGTTCACAACGTGGCTGAAATCAGACTTATTACACCTTGACATCCTCACAGCATCAAAAACATAAAAAAAACACAATCACAGGATACAAACTGTTATACTTTAATACAGAAAAGAGAGGAGAGTTAAACTCAAATGATACAGCAGTTTTCTCCTCAGAATGAACGAAAAGCCCAGTGTTGGCAACAGCTCGGATTAATCATTTGTTGTTGTGGGATCCAGAAAACTGTTCAATGTCATAGCATATTATTATTTAAACATACTATAATTGCAGCCCATAATTACCGATACAGTCTGCACTGATACTTGGCAAGGGATTAAGGTGTGACTGAAGACGTTTCAGTCCCATTTTTATTGGCTAATAATTACATCAATTATTATATAATAATTTAAACAAAATTAGGCCTCAAAATAGATCAGAGCATTTTCTTTCACATCTGCCTATTTACAAATTCATAATTCAAGAAACAACACAAAAATACATTTTTAATATATGATAACATTATGAGGATCTCTGTTATTTTTATTGAGAGCGGAAATAGTGTGATAGATATTAACTGAATTGTCAATCTGAAGAATAAATTAAAACTATAGTTCGTCTCCACGCTATTTGAACAATCATTTTTTATTAAAATAATAATTCGCTCAAAAAAAATGAAAAAAAAATCCTTTTTGTCCTTTTAGGAGCTTGAAAGATTTAATATGTCACTATTAAGTGTTTATATTTATTTTATATTATATTTAAGGCATGTTGCGACTAATAAAAAAAACAGCTGTGTGAAGAAAAAAGATACAGCACACTGTAAAGGTGAAAGGGAAACACTGCGCTCTACGCAGTTCTGTCCACATCCAGATAAAAAGTACTGAAAGTCTTCAGATTTGTGAGACACCTAAAAATCATGATATTTTAATCACTGCAAAAAGAAAGACAGACGATTTCCTCACGACCTGCAGAATGTTTGAGGGTTGTGTCAATGCAGGATTAAGGCATGTCGAAATGCTTCAATGAAAGACTTCCGATATTCCCTTCAATGAAGGAGACGCTGCTAAAGATGCTTCACACCCCTGAGGACACACAAACAAACTTTACAATTAACAAAGAACTTTTATAAAGGATTCGTCATGGTGTAAAGGACCTTTAAAGGGATAGTTCACTTTGAAATTAATTTTTGTTATGTTTTATCTTACCTTTGTCTTTGTTTCCACAGTAGTTTCAAGTTTGATATTTTTAAGTCAAACCGTTCTTGTCTATCAGTCATATAATGGAGGTCTATGGTCACCACCTCAAAGAGCATGCACAGAGAAGTCCAAATTAAACATGATTTAATGACTCGTAAATGTAAGTACACATTGATGACCTAAGACACGAAACGAGCGGTTTGTGTGAGAAAACGAATAGTATTTATATCGTTTTTACCTCTTGTAACCACAGCCACGACTCTCTGTTTGGTGTAATTGGTGCAAATTTGTAATTTTCACCAAATTTGTAAATTTTTAAATTTGTAGAGATCACTTCCAGCGCTTTCCTGTGGTTACATGAGGTAAAAACGATATAAATACTGTTCATTTTCTCACACAAACCGCTCGTTTCGTGTCTTGGGCCATCAATGTGTACTTACATTTACGAGTCATTAAATCATGTTTAATTTGGACTTCTCTGTGCATGCTCTTTGAGGTGGTGACCATAGACCTCCATTATATGATTGACAGACAAGAACGGTTTGACCTAAAAACATCAAAATTGAAACAACGGAAACAAAGACCAATGCCCTTGAGGTAAGCCAAAACATATAAAAAATAAATTTCAAAGTGAACTATCCCTTTAACATAGGGTGTCACAATATATCGCAATACAAAAAATAATTAATTTGTAACGTGGATATCGTGAAAAAATGAAATTTTCAGAGTTTTAGTGTCAGTAACGACATGAAACTAGTAAATATAATGTTGAATATAATGTATTATAATGCAATTGGGGAATATTTGTGGGTCCTGATAATGCCAAATGTCTTAGGCTTACATTATTTTAAATATATCTAGTCCGTGACAACACAAGCAGATCATCTAATATATATATAGCTTCAGAATCATGATTATTTTTATTATTTATTATTATTTTATTATCTCTATTGTCCTGTGCACTGGGTTACCAGCACAAAATCCAAGCCTATTCATTTACACACACATTTTTGTTAACCTTTTGAGTATCACAATAATATCGTATCGTGAGTTCAGTATGGTGATATGTATCAGGGTTTAAAGTGAAGGTTAGTGTTTGATCAGGGTTTCTGTGATGGTTAGATCTAGAGTTAGATTCACTCACTGGTGACGCTTGAGTATTTCCAATCTTACATGTTCCCATGCCTGCTTCCCGGGACGAGCTCGGCTCTGCTGTGTGTGATGGGGCCTCTCTGGATCTCTCTGTGCCTCCTTCTCTATTGTCTGTCACCTGTGGTCCACAGGGGGGAAGAAAACACACAATACACACTGAGCATGATGCGCACTAGGCAGGCACAGGGTCCGAGAAAAGAGACACTGCTGGTTCTGCGTCACGCGCATAAATCGCATGAAGAAGACACAGGATAGACTGTTTCACTGTACTCCTGCTGACAGACACTCACACACACATTACAAAGACTACACTCACACACACACGTGCATAAAATAATGCATTTACAGCTTGAAAATTAAGGGGGCTAAAAAAATTATGTTTTATTCATTATATATTATTATCATTAACAATAACAACGATTTAACTGAATAAAAATGTTCCCCCTTTTGTAAATTACACAGATTATTAATAAGTCTCTTCTACTCACCAAGGCTCCATTTACTTAATCAAAAATGCAGTAAAAATAGTAATATAATTTTTTGAAATAATATTAAAATTCACTAACACATTTTGTACTTGAATTAGGGGTGTGCAAAGATTAATTGCGATTAATCGCATCCAAAATAAAAGTTTGTGTTTACATAATATATGTGGGTGCACTGTGTATAATTATTTTGTAAATATAAATACATATGCATGAATGTATATATTTAAGATTTATTTGCATGTAAAAAATACATAATCTATATTGTATATAAATATAAATATACGCACGTGTGTGTATTTATATATACAAAATAATTATACACAGCACACACAAATATATTATGTAATCTAGGGCTGTCAAACCATTAATTGCATCCAAAATAAAAGTTTGTGTTTACATAATATATGTGGGTGCACTGTGTATAATTATATATATATATATATATATATATATATATATAAACACACACATGCTTGTATATATTTAAGAAATATTTTCATGTATATACTGTGCATAGATTTATATATAATTTATATTATATATAAATAATATTTTTTTTCGCGATTAATCATTTGACAGCCCTAGACAAACTTTTATTTTGGATGTGATTAATCGCAATTAATCTTTGCAAGGCTCTAATTTGAATATATTTTAAAATGTAATTTATTTCTGTGTTGCAAATCTGAATTTTCAGGATCTGAACAGAAAGCTCAAAAGAACAGCAAATATTTTAAACAAAAAATATTTTGTAACATTATTAATGTCTATACTGTCACTACAATTTAAAGTGCCTTTGCTAAATACAAGTATTACTTTATCTGTCTTCCACAGGAGCAATTATATTTTGATCATTTTCATTTATATGCACAAACACAACGACAACATTATTTACATACACCATCAGTCATAAGTTTAGACACACTTGACTGAATCTTCTCATAAATGTTTCTTAAAAATTATTTAAAGCCATCAGCAAACAAAAGCTTTTACTCAAGACTGATGGGCAAACATATATTGTATACGCTGACTGCACACACACAGGGCCCTGCATCACTAAACACGCTCACAGTTGACCCCAGCGACACAACAACAAAAGACGAATAGACAGATCAATCCGGGACATAGATTAATGAGTCATGTGCGTCAATACATTGAGTGCACACACAGCCATCACAATGAGTGTCATCCAACTCCCAGTATTAATTTACCAGCGCCTGAGTGTATTTCACAATAGATTATTTACTTACGCAAAAACGGTGGTACAATGAGGCTACAAAAGGTGAGCCGAGTACTGATAGCAGAACCACTGCACGCTTCATACATACATGCTAGTTTTTGAGTGAATCTTATCAAATCTATAAGACACAGACATGACATGGCCATTTTTTACACCCAAATTATTTTACAATTATAAGGTTTTTTGATCTTTTTTTCATGATCCATTTTATATGCAGTATATAGGGCCTCGTTTTTAATTTTGCAATGTGTTACGGTGACATTTTGGGTGGTGCGGGGCACAACGTAACACTTTTTGACTTTCGGGTTTAGAGTATTTAAGTTTCCCCCACATTAATTTCAAACATGTCTAGTTACAATTCTGTGGTTTTGTTTTATTAATACAGTGTATACTTTTTTCTTGATTTACCCTGAAAGAATGGAAGTGAAATGTGACAACATGCCCCATAGGTGGGGTACATTGTAACATCACCATATGACAGCAAAATGCTATCTGATCTAATCAAAAAAATATATATATACAAATCAAACCAAAATATTTTCTTAATAAAATACAATTATTAACTTTTTCATATAAAATAATGGCAGTTTGACAACAAACACACCGGAAAACACAGCAATACAGCATAGTTCAAAACAAAATAATAATTAATAATTTCTAAACATTGACTGTCAGTCGTTATTGACATGTTTCTCATGTTTTCTCAATATAATTCATAAAAGTATAGAATATAATAGCATATTTCTAATAGGGGCGCAGCGTGGATCGGCGTTCGTAGATCGACTGGTAGAGACTATTTATCAAAGATGGCTTCTTCCTGTATTCGCGAAGTTGACTGTGTGTATAAAATATCTTCTTATTAAACCGTATGGACACTGACAAAGTTCTCAATGCTTCGGTTTGAATGTAGGGACCCTTATTATGCTGTCGTGTTACTGTGGGCTATTTTGAGCCTTGTTAGTGGTAATTTTTATTTGTCATTACTCTATGCCCTATATACTTGCGTTATAGGCTAAACTGTTTTTATAAATAAAACTATTTACATTCAGCAATCATGAAAACAAATCTCAGAGAACGGTTGACTAGGTAACAATGTGTAATTAGTGTAATTCATTTTGCGCCGGAGTTCTCCTTTAAAAAACAGCTCAAACTGAACCTGTTCAATGATTCTGATCTGGAACACAGTAATAGGAATCAATGATAACCAGTCTCTCCAGAAAAACGCTATTATGCGATCGCCGAATTCAATGCAAAATCAGCCGCATATTTATGCAGGGGCCGCATTTTTTCAAATACGCCGCACTTTCGCCGCATAAATTGCCGATTTCCGTGCAAAATATGCGGGGTTTGCATAATTTCAAAATCCTCGCATTTTCGTTGCAAAAAAAGTCACATGTATCTTAGCAGAAAGTTGAAAAATGTTGCGTTTGCTTCACACAAGAGCAGCCATTTCCCTCTGTTTCCATGGGAACGTTATGAAGTGACGCAATTACGCGACGCCAGACAGACTCACGGAGGCGATTGACATCTCACAAATCGAACTCGTATAACTGTCTGTCACACGTTCTACCGTCACGTCGTTACTTAATAAACAACAAAAGATAAAACAAGTAGCATCAAACAGAAATTACCCGCACACATGGGGTGTTCGAGGCACACATATAACACTGCAGAGAGTTCAACAGGGAGCGCGCAGCTCTTAAAGGGGCCACACCTTATTTACACTCGTTACAGTCTGAAATAAAACAAGATGAGAAATTAAATATTCCCAGCACTTTCTATGATGTAGTATGCTTGCTTATCAAAGGAATTAATGAGAAATGACTCTTACATTAGCCTAGTGAGAACAGGATGTTGGGGGAATCACTTTTTCTCTTTTTCATCAAACTGCAATTTTTGCAAGTTCCCTCAATTTTTGCAAATTCCTGCAATTTAAAATTGCATAAATATCCCGCATATTCCATCGCATTTCTAAAGAAAACGGGGCGCGTAATCAATCAATTTTTTGCCCGCAACAATCACAAAAAAACTGCGTTTTTCTGGAAGGACTGATAATACTATAATGGTAAATGTTATATATAAATCGCAAATTTTTTTCACAATTACCACGACAAAATCAGTCATTTTGATCGCAAAAATCACAAAAAAAAAATCGTGAAATCCTTGAGGGACTGAATAACAATAATTAACAAAATTATTGATTCACCAACAAACTGTTGAGGTCGAGACGGTACTCACAGTGCTCGTCGGCGACTCGGGCGAATCTCTAACGGATCTCTGTGTTGTGAGAGGATGTGTGCGTGGTGACTCCCCCGGGGCATGATGGGACAGAGAATGGGTCCTCTTCACCGCAGAGGACACGGCCTGAGCGAAGCGAGAAGGCGTTTTGGGCAAGTACGGTTTGGGCGCAGCAAAGCTTCTCAACTTCTCCAAACTCAGTGAAGGAGTGGGGTTAGCGGGAAGACTCTTCTGATGGGGCAGAAACGGCGGGAACTGTGAAGATTTGGGCCGCGGACCGTCAACCTCTGCATTCTGAGGTGAAGGTTTATCACTCGCGCTTGCACTTTCCTCATCTTCCCATTGGACTGGTGGCGGCGGAGGAGGGAAGACGTCCGGCGCGACAAACGCATCTGACTGCGGGCCGCTTGTGGCTTCTTTTGGACGGGTTGCAGGACTGCTACTGTTGCTGCTGTTGCTACTGCTACTGCCGACGCTCGCTCGGCGTACGGCTGCGGAGATCACGTAGTCCCCGGGCGATCGCTTGTGCTGCGGCAGGCGGAAAGAGGCTGGCTTGGGTCTTGTTGCAGGTGGAACTTTCTTGTCTTTGACTGCGGATTCGGTTCCTTCTGGAGGTGACGTACGAGGACTAGTTGGCGCGAAGACGTCCTGATGGCCGTTAAGAGCAACCGTGCCATTTGAGGCAGGTTTGCAATCCACACTAGGCTCCAGAGTCAACTCTACCCCAAAGAAACGGAGCTTTTCTAGAGATTTCTGAGGCACGATGGTGTAGGTGGTCATGCCGACTTTGGGCGTGTATTCCCGGGTGAGCTCGTTTGATGGTTTTGGTTTGGGTTCGGCATCTACAATATAGTGGACGCTTCCCGCTTTAGAGGCTGGTGTAGATGTCAAGCCTTTAGATGGTTGGATCGCGGGTGCTTGTGGTTCAGGAACTTGCAGCTTTTCTGTGGAAGTGGCTATGTCTCGCTTTATTCCTGTTGGGGATGTAGACGGGGCCATGATGGGTTCAGTGCATAAGCTCGATGGCTTAGTAGGTGTTTGAGGTTCTGCCTGCATGTGGGTCTCGGTTTGAGTGAAGTTGGTTTCGGGCGTCCAAGATGAACGGCTGGGCTCAGGGGAAGCCGCAGTCGTGTCTGAATCAAAGAACTGGGCTTGCAAAGTCTGGACGCCGCATTCAGATGTCTGAGGCGTGTTGATCAAAGACGCAGGCTTCTCTGTGGTGTTCACAGAAACCTTTTCCAGAACAGGGACACTTTCAGGCGGATGAATTGCCTCTTCTGTCTTTTCCACCAGGGGCTCTATAAAAAGAGAAGACAAAGTCATGCAGCGAAGCCTTTTATTTAGTTACTAGAGTTTCACTGGAATACATAGCCCATAGCATATTGCACATCAAACTGCTTTCTTATGACTTTTTATAGGGATTGTGTCATGAGGAATCACATTTTCCTGAGAATTACTGAGATTAAAGAGTTTAACTGTGAATTTCAGAACTCAAAACTTCAGTCCAACCAGAGCATTTATTGAAATTAAGCTGCCAAAACAAGACATTCGGAAATTAAAGTTCACTGAGGCTGTGGTTCCCAAAATTTTGGCATTTAACATCATTCTACACCTTTTACATTAAAGGGTACATATCATGCTTTTAAATCATTCATTTTTGCTTATAAATCATACATTTGTGGTCTATATAAAGCATAACTGCAATGCTTGGGTCTGAATTCCTCATTATTATAGCTATTATTATTTCTACCCCTTTTCTGATGTGCTTCTGTGAGCAAGTCGTTTCGAAGCGGCCCCTTTAAATAAAAAGGAGATGCGTCATACCCCGCCCGCTCTCCAGGTCAAAGAGTTCACGGTCGGTTCAACTCCCCACGTTCAGCCATTATTGTAGTTTGATTAGAGATGTACGATTACTAGCTTCAAAGAACATTTTTTCACACGTAAACAAAATGTCAACAACAGAAGACTTGTCCATCAAGCCTTACACATTCGAGCCAGAGCGAGCGAGTTGAAAAAGACGACGACGAACCTGCAGAACAACCACTTCTTTGGTATGTGAGTTAACTGTTTTGTGTTATTAGTGAAAGTCGACTATTTCTCTTATTAAAACAAGCACACTGACAAGATAAATGACTACGGTCTGATCTTACCACAAAAAATCCGTATTGATAATAATATGATAACTTAAGTTTAGAAAGCGTCAGAAAACAGGTTGTTGAAGGGGGATCCTTGAAGTGCTTCAGGTCACTACATCCAACAACCGAACATTTTGACTTGCCCTCTCGTAACTTCTGCATCATTGAGCTCGGACTACAAAATCGGAGCGAGAAATAATAATGGCGGATTGCTCGAAGTGTTGGACCGCTAGTCGATGTCCTTATTTGTCAGTTCTGCTGCAAATACTGTGACGTAATTGTTCAAAAAACGTCATAGAGAACAGAAAAATCTGAACAGGTTGAAAAATATGACCAAAACAGAATATAAAGATATAAACGAAGCACCTGAAGAGAATAATTTCATCTTTTCTGTACTTACAAACACTCCAAATATACAACAAAATGCATTTAAGGGCTAAAAAAGTGGATTTTACATGATATGTAATTGGATTTTCCAGTGCATTTTTTTACTTTATAAATAATGATTTAAAAAAAAATGTTCAAAAAATGTTCAAAAGCGAAGTGATACTTTTAAATATGAAACTAAAACCCCCAGTTGGTAGCGGAAAGTCAGTGTCTTCTTCATTCATTCATTCATTCAGTAATGAAGCAAGTGGCTGAATTTATGAATGGGTCATTGAATCATTGACTCTCGCGAATTGCGTTTGAAGCCCCAACTTCGTTCACGAAACACTGTTGTGTTGCAGTTTTGCTGTGGAACTACAGTACTATTTTGTTGCAAAATAAAGCAAATAATACAAAACTGTGTTAAAATTGTATTTATTACACTTTTGTTTGTTGTACGAAATCAATGCCACATTTACAATCATGTGGATATTTGGGGAAAATTGCATTCTTGCTCGTATGAAATTATCAATATTAAACGCAAGAACACAAGGGCTACGTTTTTGTATTGAAGAGAGTCTGAAATCCATCTCTGCACAGTCTGTGTGTATATGTGTTCTTCATACAAGTAAGTGCTGATACCTGTACTTTTACAAAGATATATTGGTCGAGAACGGCAGTATTTTAGCGAGATTTGCTAAGGCAGCATATCAGCTCGCAACTTATCATATGCATACTGCTCGTGTGGATGCAGTCAGTTTTGACAGGAGGTAATTTGATTGGATGTATTTGATGTCCTGTTAGAAATCATGCTCGGGTTAAATGTTATTTAAGTTGGAGTAGAATTAACATACTCCAGTTTGGAAACCACTGCACTAAGAAAAAACATTGAGTCAAATCTGAGGTGTTGAATCTCAACCATCGGTGAAGCTTACCTATCTCTTCTGATTGGATATGAGAGCTTGCGGCCTGGTCCGACTTAATCGCTCCATTCACTGTGCCTTCAGCTACTCTGTCAAGGGTAAAAACCATGTAATGTTTAAAAAACACATTTAATGAAATAAATTACCTAATATTAATTAAAAATGAGAAAATCAAAAATCATTAACATTAAGGCTGTCAAAATGGAAGGTTAACATTATTATTATTATTTTTTTTTGTAAAAATATTTAACACAATTAAAGCAGGATCCATTTTTTCCCATTGTTCTCTTTGGCACTCGAACGGACAAAAACACACAAAAACATGCCGACAATGCCTGCTTTTTCCAAGTATCCTCGTAAGCACAGTCTTAAATGAGTTAAATAAAGTCTTAAATGACAGTAAAGAGTTGGTTATGTGTCAGATCCACATCGTGTGCAATGTCTTAAAGTGACAGCAGCCTAATAAACCTGTTGCTGTCTGTCATTAATGTTAATCAAAAAACAAAAGACTGATAAAATCAGTCCCTGCTCTTGACTGAACAACTTTTGTAGCTTTAATGAGGATTAATCGATGTTATAATGAAGTGAAGACTGTGAAGTGTTTGATAACTACTCAATTTCCCGCATGTTAGATCAAATATTTAGAAAACCCGTCTTTATGTTGTTCTACAGTAATTTGGAAATAACCGTGTAATTATTACAATATAAAAATATATTTAAATGTTAATGCTAAGCCTAATCACAATTAATTACATTGTTTTAATCGACTGACAGCACTAATTTATATACATTTATTAAAACAAACCTAACTCTACTTTAATATAAGAATCAATAGGTTTCATTTCTAGGTTGCTTTGTGTCATTACAGTTTTCTGAATGGTTGCTGGTCTCAAATTTGTTACCTGCCACTGAATATAAATGAACACACTGTGCACTGAGCTTCTAATGAACATACTCTGCATCTGTGGACAGGTCACATGATGGATTGTCTCTGGACGTCCCACTGTCCAGAATCTCAGAATCCTGAGAAGGAGACGCTGTCCCAGCTCGGCCCGAGTCCAGGGAGATGTCGGCGGACAGGTTTAGGCTGCTGTCATCCTCCAGGTGCTCCTCCTGCACATCGCCGGACACATGCATTTCTTCCTGTTCCTTGATCTCCTCCAGAGGAGACTCCAACACTGGTTCTGCAGTGCAAAATCATGAGAAATGCAGAAAGTCAATTGCTTAAATATTAAAAAGTACAGTTTTTCACTGTATCCCTAAGCAGCACTGAAGCACGGGTTTCCACATCAAAACTGAAGTGATGCCTATTCTCATGATAGAAAGAGAGAGGTGTGGCATTTGCAGCGTTAAAGGAGTAGTTCACTTTAAAAAAAAAAGGAAAAAAAAGTTTGCTGATTATTTACTCACCCTCATTTCATCCAAGATGTCCATGTCTTTCTTTCTTCAGTCGAAAAGAAATTAAGGTTTTTGATGAAAACATTCCTGGATTTTTCTCCATATAATGGACTTCAATGGGGTCCAAACGGTTCCAAATGAGAGTTTCAGTGCAGCTTCAAAGGGCTTTAAACGACACCAGACGATGAATAAGGGTCTTATCTAGCGAAACGATCGGTCATTTCAAAAATAAATAACAAAGTTTAAGTTTTATAAGCACAAATGCTCACCTTGCTCTGTTCTGTGACGCGCGTTCGTGACTCTCCTGTTCGAACTCGTTCATCAAAATGAACGAATCTTTTTTCGAGTCATTTCGTTCATTGAATTAACCAAATGACTCAAAAAAAGATTCGTTCATTTTGAAAAACTGTACTTTTTAATATTTAAGCAATTGACTTTCTCTGTTTCTCAAGATTTTACACTGAAAATCTTCGGCTTACACTTCCGAAATCTTACACTTCGGCTTCATCACTGTCTCCTCTCCACCAGTAAGCTGGTGTGTGGTGAGCGTTCTGGCGCAATATGGCTGCCGTCGCATCATCCAGGTGGATGCTGCACATTGGTGGTGGTTGAGGAGATCCCCACCCCTCTATGTGAAGCGCTTTGAGTGTCCAGAAAAGCACTATATAAATGTAACGAATTATTATTTTTATTATTGAAAAAAGATTTGTTCATTTTGATGAAGGAGTTCGAACAGGAGAGTCACGAACGCGCATCACAGAACAGAGCAAGGCGAGCATTTGTGCTTATAAAACTTAAACTTTTTTACTTATTTTTTAAATGACAGATTGCTTCGCTTGATAAGACCCTTCTTTATCGTCTGGCGTCGTTTAAAGCCCTTTGAAGCTGTACTGAAACTCTCATTTGGACCTTGAACCGTTTGGACCCCATTGAAGTCCATTATATGGAAAAAAAAATCAAAAACCTGAATTTCTTTTCGACTGAAGAAAGAAAAACATGGACATCTTGGATGACATGGGGGTGAGTAAATTAGCAGCAAAAGTTTTTTAAAAGTGAACTATTCCTTTAAATATGCTCCTCAGACTGAGCGAGTGGCGTTAATTAAGACGTCTCGCTTCTCTCGCCTGATTCAGCTCTTCAATCGTCCTCTCTGGAGACCAGCGAGATGAAGAAACACGCTGAGAGCTGTCTCTGTGATCTCTCCCAGACACTGCTCTTCGATCTCTGCTCCATTCTGAGCTCTTACTTAACTGTTTATTATGGCTCTTTATATATTTATTTTCTTTCTCAGTCATTAGACTGTAAGCATAACTGTAACCTAAACTTCACGAGGACGACTGCGCATTGTTTTTTAATGTAAACGATTGTAATTACCCCCAAAAACTATACATCATTAAAAAGATCTAAGACTCAAGCTTCAGTATTTGACCTCTATTTTATTCTGAAAATCTTATAGTTGCCGATATGTCTTAATTTGTTTCAGGAGTTATAAAAAAAGAAAAAAAAAATGAGTCAACAGCACCTTTAATATGAATTATGACCGTCAGCCGATCCCATTCAGAAAAACAAAAACAAATCCTGTACGGTCCCCATGAAAGCGCTTGACAAAACAACAATCCTCAGGCCTTTTAGTTCAAAATTGTGCAGATTTTGAGAAATATCGATAGATTTTCATGTTTACTTTCATCGAATTTCTCTAAAGAGGAGTAATATTTATATAAATATTACCCAAATAAGGCAGTGCTTTGACTGTGCAAATGTGTAGTGTTGACTTGAGCTTGCATTGGGGAAAGTCTCGTGAAACTCAATATGCAAGTAAGCAAAAGTTGCAAAAGCATTCATAAAATACACTTGTAAGAAACAAAACCAAGTGAATGATCCCTGCTGGGTCTCGGAAGGCCGT